TTACAATTTACTAAGAAAGTGACATTATCTCTACGAAATCGTAATTGTACATTTAATCAATTTTAGCATATCAGTCAAAGGCACACAACTCTTCATAACTTGAGTCAACACTTACAATTGTCACACACATACACACTATTATTTGAACTCACACAATTGACATTTTACCTTGCAGAAATCAAACTGTTTTAATTTCACAAACAAACTTAAACCATCAATATTCATTCACCAAATTTCTGCATGGACACTCATTGCAATTTTATCTCACTTGCCACGTTTAACAAGCAACCTATCATCACTTTTTGGATGTCAAATATATATATATAAATTCATGTTATTGTTGAAATCTATATCTACGTTTTTTTTTCCTTGATTTCTTCAAGTTGTATTGTCTTCATATGTTCGTTTATTTGTTGTGGATAAATGCATAATGTGCACGCACATTTTAGGCCTTCACACAATTTCACCTTCTGACACAGCATAAATTCCGCAACAATCTCATCGTTGCTCACACGCCCGATATGCATTTACTGCAGTGAAAAAGTACAGATGTATTTAAAATAAACCTGATTTCGATAAAGCTGATGTCTTACTTAACTGTATCCAATAATAATGCATTTAATATTTGCATATTAGTATCGTATTATAAAATAGAAACATAGCAAATATGCATCTTTTTTATTGTTTACGTTTATAAGATGTTTAGCTGTTTCTCGTTCAGTTGTTTATGGCTGTACACATTCACACAACGAGTATAGTGTTACTAACGATAATTTTATCATTTTCTTTTTTAACTTATTTAACTAGAAGATGGGATAAAGAGATAGTGGAAAAGAGGTTAGTCTATTGTAATTTGGTCTCTCAAAAAAGGTACTCACATGATACAGGAGGTACGTGATAAAATCAGTTTTTATAAGTGAAAATTTGGGGCTCGTATGATAGGTGAGATCGCGCGTTACACAAGTATACACGGTATATAATGAAAGAGAGAAAAAGAGGTAGAAAGAAAGAAAGAGAGAAAGAAAGAGAATGTTCATCAACCAATTTATAGTAACAAATAAAATTAAATATTTCTTTATATCCCACTGATTAAACCCCACTGACGAGCGGATGTAATTTTATTTGTTACTGGGTTGATGAATATTCTCTCTCTTTCTTTCTTTCTTTACATACCGTATATACTTGTCAGTTATCTCCTGTTAATTCCCCTCTCCAGATTCTCCACTGCCTTAACCAGGTATTGAACTCACATTCTTTGGGTCCAGTCACTGGATCTAACTAACGCCTTTATCCACTGTGCCATTGAGGACATCTGTGTGTGAATTTCTGGGTTTTATAAACCTAATGTCTTCAGCAACCATTTTTTTACCAGTGCTCATATTGCAATTTTTGCTGTTATCATTGTATGTTTTTTTTTACCAGAGCTCATATTGCAATTTTCTTTGTTATTATTGCTTTTCTCTGGCACTCCTTATTACTGATTCCCATATTGTATTCATTTCTATGCTTGGTGGGCTCAGGAGATTTTTGTGGTCTAGCATATGTGCTGATTCCTTAAGTTTACAAATGTTTCAAGAAATATAGACTGACAAAAATTTGGAGTCGCAATACGCGAGATCACGCGTTACACGAGAATACACGTTAGTTGCTTTTCCGTTTTCATGCCGTTGTGGATGCCAATGTCACTAAAATTTTAATTACCGTATATACTCGCGTATCATACGAACTTTTGAAGACGTAATTTTGCAGCTAAATTTAAGGGGATCGCATCATACACAAGATATAAAATTAGCGTATGTACTGCTGGCTCAGGTGGCGCCTTTGACCAAACTATATATCCATTTAACTGTAGTCGAATTAGTTTCAAATTTAGGTCTTCAAAGGTCACAAGACACGAGAGTATATACGGTAGGTGTCTGTTTTTTTTTTCCTTCTTGTGTTCTTTCACTGTTATATCTTATTGTACTTTGGACTTCTTTCGAAAATAATTTAATTAATGACTTTTAAAACTTTCGCCACACACGTACGATCCTCTCAATACACACCAGTAGGGTGAGACACACCAACTGAAAATCATTGCATTAATACTTTGCTTAGTTTTTAGAAGACATCTTTGCTATTCCTATGTATCTTTAGGTTTTTGTATCAAATTTTCCGTCATCCATAACCGTCCTGGGTGTGACGATAAACAACGTCCAACAGCAAGGCCTCTGATCAGGAGGATTTGAGTACAGTGAAACCACCTCTTAATTGCTGGTGTTTCTGATCCGGGGAGTATGGTCAAATAGTCAACCTCCAAATTAGGGTCAAAACACTATGAAAGTGTAAAATTAGGTTTTAATACGAGAAATACTTTGTAATAAAAAAAAAAAAACAAATTTAGCAGCAATACATTTTTGAAAAAATTATTAGCAGTGTTATAAAATAAAATAAGACATATCTCGGCTGATTTACAAGCAAATAAACTAACATACTCAAGAGCGAGAGCCGGATGTGAACAGGACAAAGCCCCGTCACAAAATGACCAGTATCTTCGTTTACGCATGTTCCCGACGTACTAGTTCCGGTCGAAAAGTAAAATAATATTTTAAAGTGTTTCTATTTTTCGACCAATGAAAATGCTTCCCTCCTAATTATACTCGCGTCGTTTTTCGAGCCTGTTAAGCCATAAAAAACGCCATAAAATGGGTCACAGAGTGAAGTACAACAGCAGTCAACAGGAGGCCAGGGAAGAGATCTGTCACGGTCAGGTTGAGCGGTCGGCAGCAGTCAGCAGGAGGAGCGCTACCCAACCAGTGAGAACTACTATGAGAGATCAACCCAGATCTTCAGCCGGCCTATGAACTATACCACAAGGTAGCTGTCCCAAAACCACACGTTCCTATTGAAATAAATCACGTAAATCTATTTCTACTGTTGTCGCATTTCTTTCTTGCAACCATACGCTTGTCTATAACAGCAGCAATACATTTTTGAAAAAAAAAAATATTACCAGATATAAATTTCAAAAAAAAATATTACCAGCTATACATTTTTGAAAAATATATTACCAGCAATACATTAAAAAAAATATTGCTTGTAATACATTTTTGAAAAACAAATAATACCTCCTATATATTTTTTGTAAAAAAAATATTACCAGCGAATGAAAATTATTACCAGAAGTAGATTTTTTGAAGGAAAAAATATTACCAGAAATACATTTTTGGAAAAAAATATTACCAACAATTGGAATAAAAATTTTGTCGGCGTTAAATAACCCATTGAGGTTGATATGCCGTAAAACAAAATAAAACAAACCAATCCAAACCAAAGAATACATATTCTATTCATACGAATCTATCCTAAAAATATTGTCGGCATTAAATAACCCATTGAGGTTGATATGCCGTTAAACAAAATAAACCAAACCAATCTAAACCAAAGAATACATATTCTATTCATACGAATCTATCCTAAAAATATTGTCGGCATTAAATAACCCATTGAGGTTGATATGCCGTAAATCAAAATAAACCAAACCAATCTAATCCAAAGAATACATATTCTATTCATACGAATCTATCCTAAAAATATTGTCGGCATTAAATAACCTATTGAGGTTGATATGCCGTTAAACAAAATAAACCAAACCAATCTAAACCAAAGAATACATATTCTATTCATACGAATCTATCCTAAAAATATTGTCGGCATTAAATAACCCATTGAAGTTGATATGACGTTAAACAAAATAAACCAAACCAATCTAAACCAAAGAATACATATTCTATTCATACGAATCTATCCTAAAAATATTGTCGGCATTAAATAACCCATTGAGGTTGATATGCCGTAAATCAAAATAAACCAAACCAATCTAATCCAAAGAATACATATTCTATTCATACGAATCTATCGTAAAAATACTGTCGACATTAAATAACCCATTGAGGTTGATATGACGTTAAACAAAATAAACCAAACCAATCTAAACCAAAGAATACATATTCTATTCATACGAATCTATCCTAAAAATATTGTCGTCATTAAATAACCCATTGAGGTTGATATGACGTTAAACAAAATAAACCAAACCAATCTAAACCAAAGAATACATATTCTATTCATACGAATCTATCCTAAAAATATTGTCGGCATTAAATAACCAATTGAGGTTGATATGCCGTAAACCAAACCAAACCAAACCAAACTGTCGTCTATAACGACGCAACCCAGATAGTTACTTTTGTAGCTGCTTGATATTGATGCTCTCCAGCTGCAGAACACAACTTGCGTTGCCTCTTTTGCTGTCGACCATGCATTCTGTCTTCGTACAGTTAATATTTAATTTTTTTTTTCTAGTTCTCGTAGGATCGTCTCGCTGGACAGATTGAATAAATCCGAACGGAAAAAAAAAACATCCTTGACTTAATCTTCTTGTTTAACTAATTCCTTGGCTTTTTTTTTATTTTCCAGTACATGTTGCACACTACAATCTTAACCTCTTCAAGTCTAGGGTTAACCGTTATCTTACCCACATATCCTCATAAACTGTACTTCTTATCTTTTACTTTAGCTGCTCATACAACACAAAATCCTTCACTATCTCTAGACCTTGTGTGATTCTTTGGCATTGTATAGGGTGGAGATTAGAAAAACTAAAAGGTTAATCTAATATCTTTCCTGTATAGATCGAACTGGCAGGGGTCCCCTTTTTTTCTTTTATATTTCATCAATCTTTTTTTTTTTTTCTTTGATTAAAAATAATTTTGAAAACATTTTAAATTCTGTCTTGTTTTTTTTGCTTTCGTTCTCTCTTTCTTTCGTTTTTCCCTTTTTCTCTTCATTCGAAATATCTTTTTTCTTTCTTTGTTAATTTTTTTTCAATTTTTTTGGTCATTTTTTCATTCTTTCTATATTTATTTCTTATTCTTTGTTCTATTTTTATTTCATTCATTCTTTTTTTTTCGTTTTTGATATCTTTCTTTTCTAAATCATTCTTTTCTTTTTTGCTTTAGTTTTTAATCTTTTTTTTTTTCTTAATCCATTTTTCTTTTGTCCTCACCGTTTTTGCCCTTTTTTCATAACTCCTCCTCATTTTCTACCGTTTTCGTCTTTTTTAATGATTTTTTTATTTTTTCCATTTTCTCGTTTGTTTTTCTTTCTTTCCCCTCCTTCTTTGAAGTGTTTTGCTATTGCTTTTCTATTTTTCCTTCATGCTATCTTCCTTTCTTCCCATCACATCTTTCTTTCTTTCGTACTTTCTTTCTTTCTTTCTTTAGTTTTTGTCCTCATTGTTTTTCAAAAACGTTTTCCCCTCTTTCTTTCTTTAAATTATTCTTTCCTTCGTTTTTTTCTTTCTTTTCATTTTCTTTCTTTCTTTAAATTGTTCTCCCTTTATTTTCCTTTCTTTCTTTCTTTCTTTCTTTCTTCATTTTTGTCTTCATTCTTTTTCAGAAACATTTTCCTCTCTTCCTTCGTGTTTTTCTGTCTTTCTTTCTACAAGTTATTCTTTCTTTCTTCTTTCTTTCGTTTTTCTTTTCATTTTCATTTTCTTTATTTCTTTAAATTATAACCTCTTTTCTTTCTTTCTTTCTTTCTTTCTTTATTTTTTGTCCTCATTGTGTTTCAGAAACGTTTTCCTTCCTTCCTTCCTTCCTTCCTTCTTTTCAGTTATTCGTTCTTTTTTCTTTATTCCTTTTTCTTTCCTTTCATTTTGTTCGTTTTTTTTATTATTCCTTCTTTTCCATCTTTCTTTCTTATCCATCTTTCTTTCTTTCTTTAATCTCATAAGCTGATTTCATTGGGAGAATTGAAGATATTGTTCAACAATACTGAATTCTCTGTTCTGCATTTATCAAAGTCTCTTGCAGACTTTCCATTTTGAATCTTCCTTGAGTCAAATTATTTCAGACCGTAAACAGGATTTTCTAATGTCTCCCATTTTTTCCGGTGTTGCCGGCCGGGGATGGGGGGAGTTGTGGTCGAGGGTCAGTGTGCAAAAATTCACCTTGACCTTAGTACAGATCATGAAATAGACAAAAATGAGAACCAATCAACACAATTCCCAGGTAGGACTCGATAAACAAACAATAAAATAAGAAGAAAAAAAATAGAAAGTTTTTTCCATTTTTAGTATTTAAGTTCAAATAAAATAGTTTTGTTAGTTTTTGGTAAATGTTTCTTACTCTCTTGAGTCTAAATATAGACTAATCGCCTGGTGGTATTAGGGTTCCGAATTTATAAACTACGACTAGTAATCGTGGTCGATAACTGCCCATTGAAATTTGAGAATATATATATTTCAAATTAATATATATATATATATATATATATATATATATATATATATATATATATATATATATATATATGTATGTATGTATATACAGAGAGAGAGAGAATATATATATGTCAAATTTCATATATATATATATATATATATATATATATATATATATATGTTTATGTTTTCTTCCCTCTAAAACAAATATCTTCTACCCAAAATCCTGCCTCGTGCTTTTCGTCTGACTGAAAAATGAATTGAAGTGGATAAATTCTGTATTAGTTTTTCGACGTTTTTTTTTTTTTTTTCAAAAAACCAAATTTCTATTTCCGACAAAATTTTATAAGACTGACGAATTGTATTTTTCGTCAAAAAAAATAATTTTATTCCCCATATGAAATGATTTGGGATTTTATTGTGTACTAATTATTTGCTCTGTAATAATAAATACATTGAGCTCTTTTTGTGAATCAGTTTTAATATTTTATATTACTAGGAGCCACTTGGATTATATACCAACGGATTTATTACCTTTATATATATATATATATATATATATATATATATATATATATATATATATATATATATATATATATATAAAAAAAAAACTTAAAAACATAATATTCCATGGTCATATTTTATTCCATTGGAATCGTAAATACAATCCAATTCATCAGACCTACAAATTCAAAAAAAAAACAAAAAAAACTCCTAATAAAAATAAAATTTTTTGAAAATGTATGTATGAGAGTAAACAAAACAATGTTAGAAGTAAATGAAAGCTATAGAGAGGGGTAACAGACGAGAGAAGAACAGGAAGATCTAAAGATGAAGGTGAGGGATTAAAATTTAACAGAGAAAATTTTTTTAAAGAGGTGGGGTATCAAATACGGTTTAAATATGAGATGATTTGAATGTTCTCAGATGTCTAATACATTAAAGATGTAACCGAAAGGATACCTTTTATGGCTACATACACACAATAATAGACGATATAATCTTAAAGATCAGAAGATGAGAGAGGAGAGGAAAAGAAAAATCAAAAATAGGAAATTCCTTGTAATATTATTTAACCCACCATATTGCAGGCTCTCTAACATTGACACAGGAAGTTTCTTTCTGAGATTAATTGATAAACACTTTCATAGTAAACATCCACTACATAAAACTTTCAATAGGAAGACACTGAAAATTAGTTACTCATGCGTTAGAAATATGGAGAAAATTATACCTTCTCATAATTGTAGAATACTTAGAAACTACCATCGTAATGAAATTCAATCTAGTAACCCTGCCTGCAATTGTAGGAATAGAGACCATTGTCCAATCGGGGGTAAATGTATGTATGAAAATGAAGTATATGAGGCAACAATGGAATATTAGTGTTTAAGCCTTTTTTTATTATATCCTTACTCTGTCCTGGACATTGAGTTCTACCTGGATTCTATCCTCTTGGAATTATTTTTTATACAAATATATATGCATATATATGTATGTATGTATGTATGTATGTATGTATGCATATATTTATATATTTTAGATATTTGATTGCATATGTATGTGTATATTTATCAACTAATATATATATATATATATATATATATATATATATATATATATATATATATATATATATATATATTAAAATTAAGAATTTTTTAGGTGCAAAATTGTTGGTTCTTTTCCGGGAGTTTACTGGTGGGAGGTCATTTTCGTCATAAAGTGCTTGATATTAAAAGATAATGACAGAACTTTAATAGAATTATATATAATTATATATATGTTTCTCGTTGCTGTGAATTTGATTCCTACGGAAAATGGTAATAGTGTTATTATTGTCTTTTTTTTCTTCTTTGTTATTATTTATGGATATTTGAAAGGTAGTGTTTTATACGTTGGTCGACTAATTTATTCAGAAAATTGTTGTTTATGAGCATTTGTTTTATATTGGTAACTTCTTTGCAAAATATTGTTCTGGATGAGGTGACGTGAAAAGATCTATTGATGAAGTTTTTGATTAGGGCTTGGGCATTCGCTATGGAAGTTGAGCAGACAGGAGTTTTTGCTGGCTTTTACATGGCTTTTATATTAAATGTATTAAATGTATCTTTGTTGTTGATATTTAGTTCAGCCGGGAATTTTAAAATGGAATTTATTAACCGTGTCTTCTTTTTGTGTTGTTATAAAGATGTCGTCACCGTATTTGGTGTATATAGTAGATTTGGTTATATGATTATTAAATATGGCGTTTTTTTATGTGTGACATGTAGAATTCGGCGAACGTAGGACCTAGAGGAGAACCCATGTATACGCCGTCGATTTGAATATATATTTTTCCAAGTTAAATTGTCTGGAACTTTGTAGAATTATATATATATATATATATATATATATATATAAAAAGTGTGTATATAAATATAAATATATATATATATATATAAAATAATATATATATATAAAAATAAATATATATATATTAATATATATATATAAAAAAAAATCAGGCGAGTCACTTTTATCGAACAGCACAGTATATATATATATATATATATATATATATATATATATATATAATGTAAATCTATTTAAACTTGGTGTGGTGAAAAATCCTGGATAGCACAATTTTTAGATAAATTAGCATCTGGGGGAAAATGAAAAAAAAAAGAAAGTACAAGAAACCTCTGAGTAGGATGAAAAAAATCATCCAGTAACTTAAATTTCTGGTAAAAAAGAAAATTAGCAAAATCAGTAATAAGTTAAAATAAAATGAATGATTGCTTTTATACACTTACTAGAGCATATGTAAAATAAATAAATCCTAATCCATTATTACTACCTACCTTCTTTTCAACTTCATGTGATGAAACCTATCTAGGTAAATGGGCTACAATAAAAGATTTATATATATATATATATATATATATAGAACGTCTAAGTTCATATAAGTAAGTTCAAATTAGCCTTCATCTCAACCAGGTGCTGATAATTGGATATATTTATCTCAAATGATGCCAAATCAGTCAGGTTTTGATCCCAAATATTGCAGCAATCAAACATTTCTAGCCACACTGATGAGCTATGATACAGCAAAACAGTCTGTCTGTTAGGGAAAATATATATATATATATATATATATATATATATATAAACTGTGTGTGTGTGTGTATGTGTGTGTGTGTGCATGTGTCCTTAAATAATTGGCAGGACATCAATTTAGCTCTTCAAAATTTCCTCCCTCACAATTGTTAGTGTACTATTCTCTGACATGGGTTACCGACACACTCCTTTATCTCATATCTTCACTATCTGATCTGTTTTTATTTGGCTTTATCTTTACAAGAGTCAGGCATCCTTGGCCTGACGATAAACTACATTCGGCAGCAAAGCTTCTTATCAGGCGGTTTTGGGGAGCATGGAACCACCTCTTAATTATTGTTGTTTTCAGGTCCACCTGACCCAGAGTGGTAGCACCTGTTAGGGTCCCAGCTATGGGCAAATAGCTACCCTCTAAACTGCAGTCAAAACAAGAAAATAAAAAAATATATTAAAAAACTTATCGGTAATACATTTTCATAGTAAAAAGAAAATTCAAAATTACCATTAATACATTAATGGAAAAAAATGACCAAAGCTCACAAAGTATTCAGTATACTATTAGTCCTTTAAAACTCTAAGAAAATTAAATTCCATCATTGAATGACCCATAAGGAGTTGATATGCCATTAAACAAGCAAACTAAAATAAAGTAAAGTTTTTTAAAAAAATAAACCAGTTTGATGATCGCAAAAGCATGAAACCCAGGGTCACAAAACTAATATCCATACAATTGAATATATATATATATATGTGTGTGTGTGTGTGTGTGTTGTAGCGTACCTACAGATAATAATGGGTATGTCCCCATTCACATAAATACAGTAGTAAATACTGTATGTTGGTCTGCAGATTCCTTGTGAAATTCACTTGACTGAATTCTAGCAGTTGACTACTTCTTCTACACACCACTGGTAAATCTTATATGTGTTGTTCTTGTCCTAAGTATTATCGTTCATTACCAACCTTCGTTTGATTATTCTATTCAGTAACCTTCCCTAGGTTACAACAATTTATATATATTATATATATATATATATATATATATATATATATATATATATTAAATAATGATATAAAATTTATATATATCAATTATAAAAATATTTTGAAAAAACCCTAATACAATATGGAAAAAATGTTTTTTAAAAAATTAATTGAACGTTTAAAACCTTTACAACTTAATCAGAGTAAATTTATTTACATTGGGTAATACTTTTTGTTATTTTTTTTTTTTTAAAAAAAACAAAATGGTAGAGGATCTAAATAATATTGGTTAGAGTATATGCCCAAAACACATTTAAAAAAAAAATTGAAAGTTAATTTAAAATTTAGAATTTCCAGCATCTCTTGTTTGTGGCCATGTGTAGTTGCATTAATGTAAACAATTTTTTAAAAATTGAAACATGTCCCATA